ATGATTCTAGGAAAACTAGCGGAAATCTATATTGACTATTTACAAAACACTGTACTACAAGAGAGCATACTAAAACACATATCATACACATTCTATTTACAGTCTCGTTCAGAAATTGCGGCAAAGTGCATCATTTCGGGGCGGAGCTTCCCTATGTGGGGAGTGGCTTCCCACTGAACATGTCGCGATTTCTGAACTAGGCCGATGATAAGCTTGGAATCACCGAAAAAAGAAAGAAACACTACTAAATAGCGGTAAAGATTCAATTATAGCATAAAAAGATATTTTTTTGTTACTGATATGGGACCCCGTGCTGGGATCCCACTCAAAATGATTTAATAGTTTAGCGCCAGAAAATTGGCGACGAGCCATCTAGTGGCGTCGATTTTTTGCTCTGATCTGACCACGTCGAGTGAACCAGTCGTTGTGACTGGTCTTTGACGGGTTGATCCGGTCCTGCAACGATTTCCAGCATTGTACTTCGTCCGAGTGTTGAACACATGGACGACGGGGCAATGGCGGAAGTGACGGTGCCAACGGACGATGACGTTTGTATGGTGACGACTGACGAGTTGGAAGACTTGCGAGCAGCTTTTTGGGACCTTAAAACAAGAACTTGAGCATCTGAACTCCGAGCCTAGACCGTTTCTTTTCAACAGTTCCGAAGAATTTCTTTTTGGATAGGCAGTTCTTGAAATTTTAGTTGAGATGATGTGCGGCAGACAGCGCCGCTTAGCAGACGTGTCATACAGTGACTTGATAGGAAACAGGGCACATCATTGATTGGAGATTTTAGTAGAGTCTGTACGACCCCCCCTTTTTTGGGTACTGGTCTGGTACGACCCCCTCCGGCCCTCTGTCCCTCCTCATCGTAATCGAGCCGTCGAGCGGGGGGCGGGGGGAGGGGCGTGAATAGCACATGTGATACGACCCCCCCTTTCTACCAATTCTCAGATTCTCCCCACATTCCTGCCCCTTTTTCAAAATTCCCCGAAAACTGCTACCAATTCTCAGATTCTCCCCACATTCCTGCCCCTTTTTCCGAAATTCCCCGAAAACTTCCCTACTTTTTCCCGAAAAATTTTGCTGTCGAGCGGGAGGGGAGGAGCGAGGGGGGGGAACACGGCACTGACTAGCATGCCTCAAAGGTATCGGGAGCAGGGATGGTGTAGAAGGGCCCCGATCCCGATACTGATCCCAAATGGACGCGATAGGTGACGCCAGTTGTCATCACACCACCTCCGCCACTCAAAAGCGGAAGTAAAAAAAGGACAAAGGATAAAGTTCAGTGCCCGTAGGGAGGAAGCTTCAGTTACCTGGAACTGAGCCCATCCGAGACTCAACCCCACTCCCTCCCCCCCCCCCCCTCCGTCACCGCGAATGACCCAACTCCACCACCACCCCCCCCCCTCACCGCGAGCGTGGTAAGCATGCCATTTGCCACTATGCCACCTCTGCCAAAAATTCGAATGAACATTCCTAATGGATTGTTCCTGAAAGGCACTCCCAAAAATGCCACGGAATGTACCGAGGCCTAAGCCCTCATTCGCATTCGAAACACGTAGGATAATCAGTAGCATAGCGTAATGGGGAGACGGAAGTCGTGTAGTGGCAGGTGGCACGCCTGCACTTCTGTGCGCAAAAACCGGATCGGTTCACTAAGGCCAACCAAAGCCTCTCTACCTGTGGAAACGCCGTAAATGCCGTACCAGATTCACCCTGGGAGCATTGAGGACTGCCCCGATTTTAAATAAAAATGAATGCTGCCGATCGCCAAGAATAGATTGATCGGCGTAGGACTTTTATCCTTCATCATTTGCTTACACCGGAGATGTTCTTCTCGCGGAGAGGGGGTGGAGTCGTAAGTGATCTGGCAATTTTTTTTATTTCCCCTCCTTGTCAGCGGTGCGGTCATTTTACAATTCTTGATAGTTGACAAATGAGGACCTCCTCACTGCGTCCTTCACTCGACGGGACTTTATGGAATCTATTTTGAGTAATGTTTTAGGCTTGGGAAGTGGATGCCTCCAGTGGTTCTGCCACGCGCTTCAAAATACGACAGTTTTCCAAGCGCTGAGATTAATGACTAACACATACCTTGCACCACAGGTCGGTTTTTTTCATTAGCTGACCATGATGCGGACTTGGTGTTAATTGGCGGACGCGAATGCGCGCATTAACAATTTGCTGGCGATGCACTATGTTCTAAATCTAGGACTTTTTAGCTCCCATAGGAAAATACTATGTCCTAATCTTGGACTTTCCATTCGGTGAGGTAAGTCCTATGTCTTACACTCAGGAATCGGAATCTACCAGTAATTATGAAAACTGTTTCTGGGCTGCCCTCGAGTGTACCAAGTACAGTTTACTCTCGGTTAGGTAACATTGTGTAACTTTTCGTGAAAGAAAAATGCCTTTCTAGATCATTGCAACATACCTTTACAAGGTTTTCTGGTAATGTTGCGCTCAGCACATGGACGAGGTCTCAGTGAACGATGAGCGACTGCTTGACGTTTCCTCTGAACGGCCAGGGATCTTGGAGCAGCAGGCACCAGAGCAGAGATCTTGCCTACAAAAGAAAAATAGGGATCAATCGACTGCAGAGCAACGGTGGAATTTAGAAAAGGTTAAAACTCACTTCTTTTAGTGGCGCATGGCTTTGTAGGTTTCATGTAGGTAATTAGTGGACGACGTGGGCCAGCCAGTTTTTTTACTTGCCTGAAATCGCCGATCATATATGTGTATTCTTGAATCTGGGGATCTAGTCTACTCAACTTGTTGAGGCAGCTCAAATTGATAGTGCGTGTCTGGCCACAGGCAAGGCGTTCGCATCGGATTCCTACGGGGGGAGGTCGTATTTGGGCTGACGAAAAATTATTTTTATACGCTTTGCATTTTTCTCGCTTGCGGACGTTTTGGAGGCGAATGCTGTGCCCTGGTTTGGCAGTCTATATCTCTCTTGTGTCTCCTCATTAGTGCGTTCCACATCTTTTCTATTTTTGCTTCATTTTGTGTTCCTCATCTTCTCTTCCTTTAATGGGAGGGGGGGGGAGGGTCGGACCAGTGGGTGTGGCGCAAGGGTCCGTTTGACTTCGCCTACGTGATCATACTGGAATTGCCGAGGAGAAACTCTAGCTTTTTTTTGTTCGGTAGCTAATTTCACGCCAAGTTCTCATTTCAAGAAACAAGTAAAAGTGATACTAATTCCGTTAGGCTCCATTACAGCTCGAAAAAAAATAAAGGTGTGAAGACATTGCGGGACAGTCATGACGGAGTAAGTATGATGCCGGCACAGCTATGACTTGACTACGCGCGATATGATAGACCCACCCTCGTTAAAGGGCTCTTTTCAGTCACTATGAAAATCCTGCTTGACCTATTCGCCGTTTCAGAACGGTATATTCATGCTGGGCACATTCGTCTAATCCTCTGAGTTGGAAACAAATTTCCAAGGAATTTTGACGCAATTCGATTGGTAGGGGCATTTTAGTGATTCCCATAGATCAATGCCTACGCTTCTTATGAAGACTGGTAAACTCTTGTGATGGTACCAGGAGATTGGTCTACACTTGAGCAGGCGTCTGCAGGTCACAACAAGGTGAGCATGCCCCTGCCCCCTAAGCGAAATAATGCTATGGATATGTACCTCTCAGCCTAATAATACCTACGGCCTAATAATACCGGCGAATCGAACTCTCTATAGTAATGCAGAACCTCTAAAATTTACCCCTGAGTTTGCGCGAGCCGGTCTCGTGCAGTAGATTTTATCATACCGGAGTATTTCATGCATAGCAATGATGTCTGGTGCGAATGTCGTGCGCGAGAAACCACCTGTTGTGCATCTGTGGAGTTAATATCTCTGTAAACGATGGGGCGCGTACAGGGCAGCGTAGATTTCGGTGCAGCCCGGTGCGATTTTTCCATTATCCTAAGTGTTGCGAGCTCAATTTAAGGAAAACGCTGTCCTAGCAGCCCTTTAAGCCACGCCCCTTCACACTAGCATTCGTTTCTCGTTGAAGAAAGTTCCTCAAGGCAACTAACAATGAGTGGTTACTTGGCATTAAAGCGAATCTCCAGGACAGTTCTTGCCCAGCAAAGTGATTGATGACATCTTCCGATTGAAGGATTGTGTCTAATCAACTCAATGAGACCGCCATGAAGATGAAACGAGACCACCGCGGAGATGACGCCCTCTTGTCGGATATCGTGGTAAAAAGGCGAAGTCTCAGTCCATGCGAAGGACGAAGTAAAACTTTAGAATGCGGGTCAGCAACACTGTTTTCAAATCACTAAGGTCGTCGAGTGCTTTGATTACGAGCTCTATTCGGCCAATTTGTGGGAACGATGGGAAAGGGGGAGAGGGAACTGAGAACTCACGCGCTATCTTGTTTTTGTAAGAGCTTTCTACGAAGCGTGTGAGTCAGATCTCAAACTCAGGTTTTGGGAGATTAGTGGTGTCGTCTGGGGGTCAGCCATTAATCTGAACATGACCAGAGCTTGCACCCCCACGACGGCGACTAGAGCGCAGGCCACCAATAAAGAATAAGAAGGTTACTGATCATAGCCGAGGTGCTGTATACGGAAAAATCTGCAGTAATTTAGTTTGGCCTGGGCATTAGCTCAGAACACTGCTGGGTAAAATACTGAGCACCTGTTTGACATCGTTCCTCGATATTCAACAGGGGTGTGCTTTCCAGGTAAATTGTATAGCTTACACAGGGTGGAGGGGAGGCTTCCGGCTCTGATCAATCCTTTTTAGGTGCGCCACGCTTCCCACTTCTATTCTGATGGTCTTTGAATGCGATTTGGCCTATGCAAAGACTCGCAAGGCCTAGCCAATGTGCAAAGCAGTGCTTTTGTTCCCACGACGAGTCCGGCATCAAATAACCTGCCAAAATTAAGACTAGCTCTCCCATAGCAAGCAAGTTCTCATCTTTCCTCATCTAGGCGTCTGAATAATCGAATATGAACTAAATAATCCTTTAGTGAAACGCCTGAGAATTACTCACGCGCTTCACAAGTCAGGTCATGAGATGCACAGTACAGCAATCCTTAGTGCCTGGACGCGAGTCGATCATAACTAGACCCCGGGCCTTCGAGCAGTAAGCTGGCGAACGTGCACGCTACACTACTCATCTCATACGTCGTTTATTATGCATCAAGGACATCTCAACTTCCCACGGCTTTCCTAGTGAGTTACCCCTAATTACGCTGAAGATGGTGCATTTTTCAGGACCGGTGCATTCAAAGGACCATGTACGGTTTTGTAAAGAATCACCAAAACTTAATATCTATCAAAACTTATGTTTATGACAGCCGCTCACTTTTTCGAGCTGTAAAAGTTCTTGCTGGGCGAATATCAGCAGCAATATTGGAAACGGACGTGAGAATTCGAGCAGTGAAAACCTTTTTCACAAGAGGACAACACCGTCAAATTTTATGGGATGGGAGTTACAGAACTTCGCAGTCGACGAAATAATGGCACGTCTCGAAATAGACGACGCTCTTGCGCTGCACGGTGGAATTTCCCCGACGCACAAAGAGGGGAGGGAGGGGGAACTTTATGAATCTGACATATTTTTTACTTACTCTCTAGCCAGCGGCGCAGCAACTTCACATTTTCTGAGAGCTGAAAAGGACCTCCTCCCCCTCGACGGTCCTGTCTTGAAGAACATTATTTTGAGATACTGTTTTGATCAATATCTCAAAACAACATCGACAATGCCGGGGTTTTTCAAAATGAGAGTAGTTGGATCTATTATTCTGAGAAATGTTCCATAATACCAGCACATGCCCTGCTCTTGATTGAGGTGGTAGTGAATATGACAGCAGAGAGACAGAGTGACCCTATCGACTGAAACTCGTTCGAACCCCTGAAAACTGTGTTTCAGTCGATAAGTTGTGTTGAATGGATTTTTCACCTCATCACCTCATAGGGACCAGAAGAAGCAGCTCTGACAACTCTTCAGAAGCTACTACGTAGTCTAATTTAATGGAGAAGAGAGCAAGGCAACCCAAGCAGAACACTTGCTACTCCTGCAACTTCGGTATATAATCGCGCATAGTGGAATTTGACCTCGATAGCTACCCATGCAACTTTGAAGATCTGTTTCCGATCCTCGACTAATTAGAACACTATAGTAAGGAGGCTCCTTCTACGGCGCTACCGATCAGCGACACAGTGCGAAATTTAGAACTTCTCAGGAGGAGACGAAGGGGCCGTACTTTGAAGAACAATCGCTATCACACTCGGTGCCATCGACCGAACAACTGCTCCTGTTTCAGATAATCTGCCTGATCTTCCCACTTGCACTGCTTCGACTCCAGCGCTGATTCTTACTCTCTAATGTAACGAAAATAGTAAAAGCTGAAAATCTTGCTACCATCGTTGGAGAAATTGCAGACTTCGAGGTGCGAATTCTCTGATGTAGCCCAAGCAAACAGGTTCGAATTCCCTTGAAGTTGGAATTGGTTGCGGTACGCGTATTGACATGGCTTTTCTTCAACAAGAGGTCATGGAGAGAACAGCAGGCGAAAATTTCCTCCTGTTAGAAATGGAGAGACAGGCGTCTAGCGGCTGCCCGCATCGCGTGATGTGTGAAATGGTGGTCCGCGTTACGACCCCACCCTTCGAGGAGGGTCTTGGAACGACACCTGCTCACCCACATCTACTACCATTTCCACCTTTTCAACCGAGGTTTTTCCGTCGCAAAGGAGGGGGGGAGGGTGGGGGTATGTAGTACGAAACAGGAAAGTCACGTGAAAAGTCAACAACCGGGAAAATTTTCTTCCCAACGCGGCAACTTTCTCTCAAAGCCACATCCGACCCCCGACAACCATCGAACACGACCCTCTCCTCCCCAACGGAGAAGCGCGAACCCCCTATGTGTTCCAACAAAGATTGGCTGTACCCTGCACGCGCTCAGTGCTCTTATAGGATGCGCCTCAGAGCCTGCTCTTTTTTCGAAGGACATGCGTGTAGAATTTTCGATTTATATCGAGCTATTTTTTTGGCTTTGCACCGATTCTAACTGCCTTACCGAAAATCGAACACACACATCCTACTTGAACAACTCCTACGCGAGTGCGGGAGTGTTGTGTTCCACTCGCTAGGGAGAGGGAGTCCTGACTGGATCGTTGAGAGAGGTCTCCATTATTAGTAAAGGAAGTAAAGCTGCATGAAAGGATTGCACCAGGCCAGTGGCGGGAGGGACAGATCGCATGATTGTACACTTTTTCAATCGTGATTACGAGCTCTACGGAATGGGCTATCTGAGGGACGGTCGGCCAATCAAGCAAGTCGGTACCCTACAATTTTCATGATTGGGTGGCTGTTGCTCATATTTTAACTTTGGTACTGGAATTTTCGTTCTCACAAGGATTGAGGCGAAGGTGATGTGGTGGCAAGTGTCACGTCCGTGGAATTCGGGAACGGCTCCCGCCCAGGCCAATCAAGCCTTCTAGCCACACAGAACGGTAACTTACCTTAGTAGCAGTTTTGTCTGGGAGGACAATAACACTAAAATCTACGGAACGGGCTATCGTTGTACATCGGCCGACCCCCTCAAGTAATTGTATAGGCCACATCGCATTCAATAAGCCACTACGATCCTGAATGGAAGTAGAATGCGTGCCGCATCCCGAAAAGAGATTGCTGGGTTGTGAAGGCTTTACCCTCCATCCTTTATCCAAGGATTCCTCAGAACTTTGAGTCCAAGATTTCTTCAGCGCGTATCTAACAGCTTTAATGAGCGTAGAGGATTGAGGGGTTGGGGTTGTTTGCTACCTCATTCTACCTTTTACCTCGCACTAGCAGCAAACCTCTGGTTCCCAGACCCACGTTGTTGCATTACGCTGAACTACTCTATAGTAAGAAGGCCAGTACTTCGGTAATCTTCATAGAGCAAAAAGAAGATCTTCAGGATTGAATTAGAGGTATTCATTCCAGCAAAGCCATTTTCTATATTCTACAGAAATATTATTTGCCTTACAAAGCTGCAGTTCACATTAAGCTTCTAGTTCGATCGATATTGCCCGGAAATCTTCCACATATTCTGAGTGTGTGTCTAAAATAGGGCACTTCTCAGTCTCTAGGTGGAAAAAAACGCATCCGCTCCGGGTAGGCATTCAACGCTGTCAGGCCCAGCTACTACATTTGTACGCTTACTTGCAGATGCGGTCTACTCGCCCTAAGGCTGGAAATCTCACCTTTTTAGTCAGCGAAATCGATTTCGGATACGGTAGCCGGGGCAGTTGGTGTCGTGGCTTTGATTTCTCCGTGCATACGCCGCCACCCACCTGAAACAACAATTATACAAGAGAAACATAACTATACTTATCTAGAGCAAATTATACCAAAAAAATTAAAGTATCGACGGAGACGCACCTTAGCAATCCGCGAAATCGATATCGGTGCCGCAGCTAGGCGAGGAGGTGGCCGTGTTGGCCGAGTGGGCTCATCGTCTCGTTTCTGGTACAGTATAAGAATAGGGTTATGTAGCGAGTGGAATTGGAATAGTTGACAGTTCCACGACTACGACAGCCGCCGAACACCTCACCGACACCGCCGCCCTCGTCAGTGATGCATAGAGTACATCTATCTTCACGTGTGAATCATCCAAGAAGGGCCCTCAACAGCGCAGACCGATGGTGGTGGTGTCGGTGGTGGTGGTGGAGGATACGACGACGGCTAGCGGCGGCGGTGGCGGCGGCGGCGCCGTCGTCGCTGCCGCCGCTACACAAAAAACCACTATCGATTCACATCCTCCACGCCGAAACTTGCAGCCGGCTGTCTCTATAGCTATCTCTAGTTATGAATGGCCTACTGGAAATTGCCCATACGAGGGTGAAACTCACAAATTGTGGGAGTGTGTTCACTTTTGGAGACCTTGAGTAGACGCTGCTATTGCGACGAACCTCCGGCTGAGAGCAGACGTCACGTCGGGCCTGAAGCACAGGAAATCAGGCCAGAGTTTGAGATCATTGAGAGCAAGAGAACGGAAAATGACAGGAGTGATGGAAAGTCATCGGAAGGCTGTGGGTGTGAGAAATGCAGCAATGGTATGCCGCAGCCGCATGAGTCAACTGGAGGGGGTGGATGTATGAATCGCGATAATGCTTTGATCAGAGAACTTCAATTTCAACAGTCTCTTGACGTCACAGTCTATGGCATTTGGGGCAAATGACTCAGCACCAATTTATGTCACTCTTGGGCAGATTCAGGGCACATCATCATTGTGGGTACCCCAGCATGGGGAGGGAGGGGAGGGGGGGTCGTATTTGGTCGTTCTTGGGTAAGCGATCGTTTATCCCT